GGGCACAGACCATGAAATCGCATTTCCCAACGAGTATGAAGTCCACAGCACACATTGGAGACATCGTTGTGACCAGAATTACAATGGGGAAACGATCCGAGCACAAACCATGAAATCGCGGTTCCCAACGAGTATGACGTCCAGAGCGCGCATTGTAGAAAGTTCAGAGGTGACATTCACGACATCATTGCGACCAGAACTATAATGGGGGAACGATCCGGGCACAGACCGGGCACAGACCTTGGAATCACATTTCCCAATGAGTATGCGGTCCGGACCGCACATTGGCGACATCCTTGTGACCAGAATTATAATGGTGCGCCCAGCCGCGCTCAGACAAAATGTACGTTTCACCACACGTTCGTGCACTCGACACGCACGATCTCCGCAGAGGGTTGCTCGAGGGCAAACCTTGAAACCAGAATTACAATGGGGAAACGCAAAATCGACAAAACCTTGTCACCAGAATTATAATGGCGGAACGCACCGCGCACACCAAAAATGTACGTTTCACCACACGTTCGCGCGATCGACACGCACGATCTCCGCAGAGGGTTGCTCACGGACAAACGCGATTCGCGTCTCACCACACGCGCGCGCGATCGATGGCCACGATTCCACGAGAGGGTTGCGTTTCGTAAGACCTGCTCGCACCGCCCCGCCGCCTAAAGAGAAGAATAAAGAAGAAGTTGGGTAGGTGAAGTTGGGTAGGTGTCTTAAGGAAGATGTCTACACCTACCTATCTTCACCTACCTATCTTCACCTACCTATCTACACCTACCTACCTACACCTACCTGTCTATACCCACTTATCAATACCTACCTATCAATATCTACTTCTGATGTACTTTGATATTGTTGATCTGATACTTCTACTTCATATGTTATGTTGTGATGTGATATTATTTTATCACATGATATGAGATGATATGATCTGACATTGATGTGATGTGATATGATATTAAAACATGATATGATATGATATGTTATGACATTGATGTGATGTGATATGATATTATAACCTGATATGATATAATATGATATGATATGAGATTAATAACCTATGAGGTGATGATTAGATGATGATGTTGTGAGGGTGAAGTAGGAGAAAGTTAGTAAAGAATATGAAGTAAGGAAGGTGAAGTAGGATAAAGAGAGTCAGGAAGAGAGAGTGGGGAAGATGAAGTAAGAGAAAGAGAGTAAGGAAGAGAGAGTGGGGAAGATGAAGTAAGAGAAAGAGATTAAGGAAGATGAAATAGGCAGCAGTGCTTAAGGAAAAACCCTTCGCAGGTGCTTTCGGGAATAAAAAAATCCGTAGATGAAAATGAGAGAAGCCTCCAACCGCCTGGTCTCCATAACCACCTGGTCTCCATGTATCTACACGAGAAAAGCATATTCAAACAAAAACTGCAGGCTGGCATACGTACCATCTGCACAAAAACAGTTCTACCTGGAACTCTTGATTGCAGAATGTGTATCGGAACAATTTACAATACTGTACCAGTTTTGTAGAACAAAGATGAACAAAATGTGTCAAGCCCACCCAGGCTGCACAGCACCCAGACCCAAACCATCCAAACCTCAAAGACATGCAGTGTGTCAAGAGCTGCGGATCTGCAGTTTTCAAGTGGACGGAATTCAACCACATGGAGTCAGCGCGATGGATGTCGAGTCCTGTGCGTGGTCGTTTTCATTTCTTGAGGCTTTCTTGAACTTGTAAGCAGGGCGCTGAAAGTACGCAAACTGTTTGACAAAGGTCTATTGAAATCTAACGGTGCGCAACCACAAGTTTTTCCCGAAAGCACCTGCGAAGGGTTTCTTCCCAAAGGACATCTGCTCACATCATCTTCCAACATAATCTTTACCATCATCGCTACTATCACATCATCATCATCAACTACTACTACAACTACTACCACCTACTACAACTACTACTACAACTGCCACCTACTACCTACTACTACCTTCTACTACTCCTACTACTACTACTCCTCCTCCTCCTCCTATACTACTCCTACTAAGTCACCTACTAAGTCTCACCTACGAAAAAAAAACACTTCTAACACTTCAATTCGACGTCTTTATAAAATTTCTACTCTTAAGGCGGCGGGCAGGTCCGGCTGGAGCTCACGAAACGTGACCCTCTGCGAGGATCGTGCGCGTCGAGCGCTCAAACGTGTGGTGAAATGCAAATTTGGCTTGTGCGCGGGTGACCCTCTGCGAGGAGCGTGCATGTCGAGTGCTCAAACGTAGGGTGAAATGCGAATTTGGTTTGTGCGCGGGTGACCCTCTGCGAGGATCGTGTGTGTCGACGCGTGACTTTTGGGGGAAGTCTCGTGCAAAACGCTCGTTTTGGAGACTTGGTGCTTCACTTTTGGAGGAAGTCTTGAACGAAACGCTCGTTTTGGAGACTTGGCGCTTCACTTTTGGAGAAAGTCTCGTACGAAACGTTCGCTTTGGAGACTTGGCGCTTCACTTTTGGAGGAAGTCTCGTACAAAACGCTCGTTTTGGAGACTTGGTGCTTTACTCTTGGAGGAAGTCTCGACAAAACGCTCGTTTTGGAGACTTGGCGCTTCACTTTTGGAGGAAGTCTCGTACGAAACGTTCGTTTTGGAGACTTGGCGCTTCACTTTTGGAGGAAAACCGCGAAACATGCTGGTGTAAACGCGGCGTGTCGCTGGTGAGCGGGATGATTGGCGGTATCGTGTGATATGATTGCTTCTAGTGTGTGGGCAGACCGTGTGGCGAATTATGTTCGTGATGTCGCACTGACATCCATTTGCATGACGTTTGCAGATGTGCTAGCTGTCACACGCAGTTGCAGATGTTTTTCTTTCGTCGTTCTTTTGCGACATTTCCTGCTGGCACTTCCCATGCGCATTGCATGGTGTCAATTTGTGAGATTTTTTGTTCCGGGGGATTTGCTGAGAGTTCCCGAACTGGAGCGCCTGATCCGCACTTGCCGAACCATGGAGGTCGATGTGAAAAGTTGAGAGATTTACGAAAACGCTCTCGGCTGTGAGATCTGCCGGAACCTGCCGCCACGGCCATCGCCTGAGCCCACAAGTCAGCCAGCGACATGGCGGCTCTGTATGAGCTCTGTGACTGGACTCGGACTGTGAAGGTCCGGAGGCCAGGCCATGTCAACGGTAGCTGTCCGGGACATGGCCGATTGCGTAGAAGCGAGCGTCGCGCAGTGAGGAAGAAAAACAGATCCGCGATGCATTGCACCGACATGTAAATCTAGCAATGGACCACTGTATTTCGTCATGGACCATACATGTTACAAACAAACGGTTCATCCCTCACAGTTTGCTTTTCGCCCTTTCGTACATAATGCTTACTCCTACTATGCTTTCGGGCCACCCTGTCGTCTAGTTTCTAGCACCAGCATTGGTCATTGATGGTGCCTTTAGCAGGAGTGGAGCTCATGAAGGCAGTCAGGTAAGCTTCAAGCAAGAGTCAAGTTGAGATCTTCAGTACTTCCAAGCAACCTTGAAACAATTACATTACCCCAGACTCTCATGTATTGAAGTCTGAAGTGCCACCAAATCCGCCCATGAGAAGAAAATAGATAAGCTCAAGAAGAATCCCCAACAGCTTGACATCAAACCCGCCTACTAGGCAATGCAACCATCGCAAGTTCACCAGCTAGCAGCTAGCAGCTCGCAAACGACATGTATGTGCAAGCACGACAACGCCACTACAAGCGAGAACCAGCAAACCGGCTTATGTCAGGGTATCGACTCTCCCGCGTCAGAGAGACACAGCGTAATCTGCAACGTGCGGAACTTCCTCCAGAACCTCTTCCGAACTCTTCCGGAATCTCCTCTGCAACCTCCTCCGGCACCTGCTCCCCAACTTGTTCTGGGAACCTGCTCTGTAAAACCTGCTCGAGAACGTGCTCTGTAACCTGCTGCGGGACCCGCTCTGATCTGCTCTGAAGTCTTTACTATATGGCTGAAGACCCTAAGCTTCGCTGTTGGGGAATGATTGAACACTGGTTACTTCGAGCTACACATCCATCTCTTCCAAACGATCCGGTCCGTACGGTGTCTCCGCCTGAAGGTTACAAGGTACTTCTGACCTGGCATGCCAACCTGGAGAGGCTGGGAGTTCGGTCAGGCCAAGGTGCAAAATAGGTACGAAGAGCTTCACTCCAGGGGCGTCTCTCTTTCGTTTGGGAGAGACTTTATAGGTGTCCGAAGCCAAGTGTTCCCATGATTGAAGGGGACGTTCCCTTTCGTATTCAAGCAACTCATGTTGGACTCTAAATCTGTCATCAGCAGAAAGGAAAGAGTGGCTGTTGCCAAAAACACCAATGCAGAAAGTTGATCTTTCTCATCTTTGGGACATAGATGATGGGTCAAAAGAAGTAACATGGGACAAGGACCACATTGGAAGAACCCAACATGGTCTGAAAGGGAGGAGCAGTCTCTTCCCTTGGGCTTTTTGCCTCCGGTTCTTGGAACATCCCCCCGGGTTTCACAAGAGTCTCAGGTTCTGAGGAGGGCCATGAAGACCAGTGGCACCAAAGAAAACCAATGAGTCCACCGTAGCGATGGCCTCCAAGCTAATAGCGCGTCCATTCTCATCACGTCTTTTGTGGTTTGGGCGTTGTGAAGGCCTCACTTGAAGGCCTCCCCCTTGAGTAGCTATCGAAAGTCGTGCAACGTGTATTTGCTGATATATGTTCGACTCCTCAAAACTGAATCAATGAAATAAGGCTGTGAAAACGTAGGCCCCAGCCAGAGAGGGCCAAAGTCAATGAAAAAACATAAAACTCAAAGTTTAACTCAGAAATGACTAAAACACAACTCAATATCTCAGCTTCCAAACAGCCGTTCAGGAGAAGATCCAGGTTTTCGGGGTCTCTAGGGCCAAACCTATTCTGACCAGTCTCTTTACAAACCTATTCTCATCTTAAAAGGATTGGAAGCTCAACCTGGTCATGGAAGGATGCTGCCTGGTTCTCCGGCACATTCACCCGCGCGCGGCAGTCCAAGAGCCACTCCTCAGCGTGCGTGGTTTCGCGAGCGGGGCAGGGAGATAGAACAATCTCAAGCTCGGGATATTGGGGTTCAGAGGTAGGGATTGTTCCTAGTAGTAAGGCCAGGAGCCCCTAGTAGCGTCCTTGCTCCTAGTAGCAATGCCAGGAGGCCCTAGTAGCTTCTTGTTGAAGCTTGAGTCCATCTGGAGATTGAGCATCTAGCCGGAGACTGCGCCGTCCAATCCCCTAAAGCTCTCCAGCAATTCGGGTGTCCAACCCCAAGCACCTCCTGAAAATGTACCCGCCGGTTTCCAGCCATCTGTGCAGAGACATTAAGTCTCCATCACAACCGATGCATATAAATTCATATTCCCAGGTCCCCATATGCACACCGCGAGCAGCCACTGCCCAAGTCGGAGGCTCTTTCACAGCTCTTTTACAATACGGCGCGGGCGCCCGGCCGCCGGGAGCAGATCAATGGGTGAAGCTGTTATATAATACAATGGAATATGTAACAAAAGAACTTATGCAGAAAGATCAAATAAAACAAATTGCAAATATGTATAGCAAGGGTACGAGATACTAAATGTTCCAAACAACATCAACATCTTATACAATATGCTACAACATGTACATGATGCAGTTGTATAAACAATGTTACAAGTTAGTGAATATCTGTGTGTTTGGATGTATTTGGTTATAGTTATATGTCTTCCTACAAATTGATTCAAACAAATGCTCAAAGCAAATATATATATATATACATATCCTGGTCCATGTAATGTATACATAGCATCCTGCAGTCCATCCTGCCGTCTCATCTCATGGGGTCGATGGGTTTTTCATCGGCCACTGACGGCCTCACGGCCGCCCATGTGACGCGTCACGTGGAGATGGCTACGGCTTAGGCCACATGGCCTCACAAGGCGGAGATGGTATCGGTATCGGGCAGCTTCAAGTTGAATCAAGTTGAACAGAAGGCTTTCTGAACATCTGAAGAGCTGAGAGCGGGGGCCACAGTCACCAAAACCCGCGAAATTGTGTCCAAAAAAGACCTTATTTACGGAGAACCTCTCTGGCGGTTCAGGAGCGGCTGTAAGTGAATTATAGGAAGTCTGAAAGAAAGACAATCAGAAAATCACCGGTGTAGGTGATTTACACTTCTTCCCGTGTAACCCTAAACCCTCAAGATACGGAGAATCGTCCAATCACGGGACGGTCAACGGTCAACGGAGACCGCGGAGTCGGTGAACGGTCGCGCCTCTTTGTAGAAAGCAAGCTCCTAGCATGTGCTGCGACAAAGATGTTCTCCAAAAACATCCAACAAAAACGATGTGTCTCTGAGGTACCCTGAAACTGAAGACTCTGCAAATTCTTGCCGATCTTTTTCAGCTATTTTTGAAGTGAACCGATTCAAGGGCTCCCAGAACGCCAGGTTTTCGGTGCTGTTAGCAGTCGGTTGGGTCACGTAGGGAGCTGGAGACGTAGTAGGACTCCACTTGGCTTGGGTGCCCAGTCCGACCCTCTCCCGGACATGTTCACACAGACTGGACCCACTTCTGCAGATCTAGACACCCCAAAAAAGACGCTTGGCTGAATTCACAAATCTGAAGGCTTTGCCAAAAGTAGTCTTGCATTTGAGCCAGGAAATGTGGGTTGTAGTGCTTTCTGTTGTAATTTCCCGGTTGGTCAATGAGTCATGAGGCATGTTCTGCTGCTCAACGGGCGACGACACAAAATTGGAGAAGTCATGAGAAGAGGCGACATGGCTTCTCCACTGGTGTCTTGGCGTCTTGTGTAGGCGACAATGTAAGGATCGGCAAAGACTCAAATCAACTATAAATGGACTTTAGTAACTTTAGTAGCTGCGAAAGCAACCCTCACGCATCGCGTACATTGATCCGCTCGCATCGCGCAGAGCACTCCCTCTCCGGATCGGCGGGTTCACCCCGCTCCGGATCGGCGAAAGCACGGTACGTTCCGAGAAAGCGCAACCGGATTGGAGTGCGCGCAACTGCGAGGGCGCCGGCATGCAATGCGCAGACATCGAAGTGCTTCCCGCCGTCCTTCAAACTTTCCTGGATGTCCTCCATTGCTCGGTGTGAGCCCTTCTTTCTGGGAGCTCTACCTCAGCAGGCAGTTAGGCAGTTAGGTCAGGTCCATGTCAGGTCCTATTCGAGTCAGGCCCTCTCCTGCAGGGAGGTGGTAATTTGAATGCAATCTTGAATTCTTCCGGATGTAGCAATCATGCCCATTCAGAGAGATGCCAGGTCCCCTGCTTGTTATGTCATGTCAACTCTGTGCATTTCTCCATGTACAACCCTGGTTTGCTTAAGGTGATTGTTGATTTTCCCTATGGTTACAGTAAATCCTCTTTTGGTTAATGTATTATTTGTTTTCCAGGTTCCTTCAGCAAATCCAAGACCATGCAATGTATCTCTATGTACTGTTCATGTGGTTCGCCTCCCGGTGCGCCACGCATCCAGACGCAGAGGGGCGGGCACGAAGACAGCATGACAAAGCCCAATAAGTTTCAAAGATAGGATGAATAATGGATGAATAACGGAAAACACAACTATGAATTATATAGGAAACATAACACATACTGTAGATAAACATAGTAAAACGTAGATGTGTTGCTGCAAAGTCACTTGAAAACACGCTTTATGCTTTGCACCTGAAATGTCTTGTCATTGGGTGTCTCGAGTTTCTGTGCACCAAGAATCACCCCACCCGTTCACGTTGAAAACGCATGTTCGCCCACCTTGACCAAGAAAAAGAACTGTTTGTTTGATCGGAATCGGATCATGTCTGTTTTCCATTGTTTTCCCAGCATGTCCAGTTTGAGAATCTTTTGGACAAGTAGCGGTAATGCTCAGGATTCCAACGTCGACAAAGCTCCTGACCAAACTCCAGCCAACGTGTGATGGGGTACCTCTTCCTACTCATCTAGTGTTCCAAAGGACTTAAGCAAGGAAGCATGTTCATCTGGTCGTGTCCCTTGAAACCAGCATTACACACACTCAGGAAACACCTCCTTCATGCATAGTTTGTCATTGCGAGTATGTGACACGCGGATGTTTCGAGCAAGTCGATCTTCACTCCCCGCAAGGTATATCGAAATCATCACGGAAGTGGACAATGGGCCCCTGGAAGAGCATGTTTCTCGTTTGAAACAGGTGCTTCTCCACATGTTACTGACTCAGGTCGAGTACTTGCCTTCGTACTCACATCCGACTCGACATCCGGCCACCTGCCCTCGCGAGAAGGGCCCGATGCGAGGCGAGCCTTCACGGTACTGACATCCACGATGCGGTAGTGCAGGGCGCTCACAAACTTTGGACAATATTTGTCTAGAAAACGCTTGTCCATATGCACCTCAGCATGCGGATGAATTTCTGCAGTTTACAACTGATCTGTTGCAGCAGTTTTTTTTGATAGACCTAGAAAAACAAGACCCAGCTGCTCCACCAAGTGAATATGTGTCAACGAGTCAACGGTACAACTCCCACGCAGTATGTATAATTACACGCACATATAATGTCGAGTCTATTGGCCTGATGTGCCCTCACCAATCCCAGTGTGTTGACCGCTCATGGCCAGGCCGAGTCCGAGCGCTGCACAGTGTTCCCAGCAAGGATGCCACCACCGTCCACCACATGCCTGTGAAGCAGGGAGGACGACATGCCTCCCTGAAAACAACCCACTGAACATCGGCCTTTTTCGGATCCCTTGCGTCGATCGTCAGATTCAACCAAATCTGCGGTGTTTTGATTCAATAACCAAGCAACAAGGAAGAACATGAAGGCTCACTCAAGTTTGATAATTGTTGAAGCTTGTAGCCTTCTACCATCTCCCCATACCTGTAAAGATTTCATCACAAACCCACGGATCTTGAATATGATTCTCTGCCAGTTGATGAACACTATGGCATATGGACACACTAAGAAAGATGTTGCAGCAAAACCTTCGCTGCAGATGAGCAATGCTTGAAAGTGGAAGAGTGTATCAAATGCCTGAGTTTGAGTGCTAGAGCAAGGCTTCAACATTCAACCTGTGATGGTCAGGGTTTGATGGAAACATCCGCTGGTAGCGGATCGGCGGCGGTCGCAGGAGCGGTTTGGCTTTTGTTCCAAAGCAGGGGGATCACTCACGGACTTGACTGGTGATCCAAGGAAGAGGGTCAAGTTCCGTGCTGATATCTGGCCTGATCAGCCAGACGTACCTGCAAAATTTGGTTTGTGGCGTTTCGTACATACGATACTCTCCTAGAGTCTTGCAGGTTGTTTCCTGATTTGGTGAGGTCGTGATGCAGCAAAAGGCTAATGCATTCTACAGACAAGTGCTCGTCGACCACTCCAACGCATCTTTTGACTTTGGAACCTTTCAAGATGGTTGGACCGCATTGCATACTACCTGCTTTATTCAGGCAGTTCTTTTTCACTCAGGCTTCTACAAGGCATTGGGCGACATTCGTGCGATTCTTATCTTGAGTGTGTGTGCATGTGCACCTTGGAGTCATAGGTTTTTTGAAAGGTGCAGGTGGCCGGACTCATGGTCTGTGTGCTGGCCAACGACTGGCACACCAGTGATTGGTTGCTCTGGTTCCTTGGATGGCGACCCATGTACCTGAAGTTGCTTCGATCATAGTTTGAATGTCCGGAACTAAGTAAAGCTGAAGCTGTCTGATGCCTGGTTTCGGCAGAAAGTGTCGTTCTTTGAGTTCTTCTGGTTTACTCGGGCAATTTCTGTTCACTTCGCAATCCGCGCCTCCCCGCAAACCCTTCAATCCTCGATACACCGAACCTCTCGTGTTCTCTTCGAATCACTCGCCCCGCGTGTTCTCACTCCCCACCACCGTCGCTCCCGGCTCCCGTCCTGGTGACAAAGTCGTGAAGGATTCCATCCACCTCTTCCAGCCGCGTCGCGGACCTCCGCACCTGCCAGGCTCCACAATGACGGTCATGAGTCGTGACGCGCGACGGTGGCTTTAACAGCAAACGCGGCGAGGTTCAGAAGCATGGGACGTCTTTTTTGTGCTGTTTTGGAGGGTGGAAACGGTGTGCCAGGTGAGAAGAACACCGTGTTTTTCTCCATCGTTTGCCTCTCGGTCTTAGAGTGTTCGACCTTCTCTTTCATCCTCGTACCTTGTGTGCACGTAGATTCGCCACTGGTGGGGGGACCCTATGGGGAGGGTAGACAAATAAGAACAGAGTCATCAGACTCTTTTTGAAGTTCATGAAGTGATTGATCGATTCATTCATTGAGGGTGTTGCTGGCGCATAGAGACAGGAAGAATTGGTGTCTACCTTGACTAGAATGAACATCCCAAAGTCGATGAAAATCATTGAACATCGATGGGTCGTGACGATGAGGAGAGTCTGGCCATTCTTGAAACGAGAACGAACACCAGGAATGCAAAACCCACCTGCCTTCAAGGAGTGTTGGCAGCAGGGAAAAACATCATGGATGAACATGGTCTGGTTGGTCGAGTCCAAAGTCTCACTTAGAAAACGACTGGCGATGTAAAAAGATAACAGTCAAGTCCATCACTGGGAAGGGGCAAGACCTTCCAAAAGCCAATAAAATTAAAACACTAACCATCACTAACCTGTAGTTTATCAAACACATAAACATCTGAATGCACACACCCTGCAGACGATCTGTCAACATCTCTCCATTCGACTTCATCTTCGTCGTCCGACCGGGTGCACAACGACCCGCGCGAGCGCCCGTGCCTGGTCAGCCAGCAGGTTGGGTGTGGCCGACTTCGCCTGCGCGTCCCAGCCAAACTGCTTCTTGCACCAGTCGTTCATGCCTGAGACTGACGTGCCAAAGAGGCGACATGCCGCCGATGGTTTTTCAACAGCGCGTTGGAGGTTGAACCCTCAAGGAGATTTGGACCTCCAGTTTGGCACTTCCTTTCCTTTCTAATTATACTGCCTACTGGTGAGTTAGGACTTTGAGTCTCCAAAGAGTTAGGAGTTGTGCAGCACAAGGCCTAACTCATGAGGCCAAATGGAACCCCGCCATTTCAGAACAGCCAGATGTTCCATGATGAGACAGGAGTAACATACCGCAGAATGCCAACAAGTCCCAACTCATGCTGCATGCACATCTCCAAAGACACCAGGTTTTGAGACGGCTAACCCCCCAAAAAGAAAGTGCACAATCGTGTGAAATCTGTCACAGAGAAACACCAGTTGTGAAAAAGTCACCTTTTATCTCACGTCGTGCCGCCCACGCGCCTAAACAACCATAATGTAGCCATGCACAGACATCCAAGGACATCAAAGGACATGCTAGGACATGGACTGGTAGCAGCACAAGTCCTATCTCATGTGTTGGCATCCGGCCACACATGCCCTGGGCACACCATTTTTGTTTAACATGTTTTGCCTTGCTAGGCTTTATGAGATAGGAGTTGTGGACCAAACACTTGTCAAAAAGTACTTTTCTTCATGAGATGGGACATTGATTTTTTGGCATACGTCCGACAAGTCCTAAGTCACTGGTGAGTAGTATAAATGTTAATCCGGATAAAATATGTTGCTGGCGACACCTTCCGACCAGAGGTTCACGTTGCGCGCCCCGAAGGTTCTTCCTGTTTTTACGTGTTCTTCACAAAACGGTTCTTGATGCACGGGTGGTTCGAATGGTTTCGAAGAGATCGGAGAAAGGGATTACAATGGATTGCACCCTAGGGTTCCAACCATTTCCAACCATATCCTCAGAAGGTGGTTAGACCCCCCTGGCACCCACCCCAACCACCTTCTGAGGATGTGATTGGAGCCCCTTCTGCAGGAGAATTCAGATCATTCAGACCATGCAGTCTGAAAACCGAACCACCGAGCCACTGAACACTGATCTCTGCCTGATATCTAAGCCGCTGAACAAAGTAGCCAACGAGCTTAGGTCCCAAGTTCGATGACAAAATGAAATTGCAATGTATTAAGAATAACACACTTGTCACTTGTTGTAGAATGCATTTACTGGTTCCAACGTGGGTGGCCTTGATTCACAACTTCTTGGTCCACCCAAAGGCGCTTTGGTGTTTTCTGGGTATCTGGTAGGGCCGAGGGACCGTCCAAAACTTCATCCGGCTGGTGGATCACCAGATCCTGAGGTCGCAGAACACCGGCCCTGAACCTGTCTGTTTCAACCCGACCAAACTGCCTTAAACAAATTGATATGTGCAAAACCTGAGAAGGGAAACGAAAGCCAGGAGGAACACGCAGGTGACGGAGACGCGTTGGTTAGGAAAGACTTCCTTGTAGTACTGCGCACCTTGCACATGGAGCTGGTTTTCTTCGGTACATAATAGATGCAGACCAACAAAAACAACCACGAACAACAGGGGCTGGTGAATCCCCATCGGAAAGCGGCAAGGTCAGCGTCTCTGAGCAAGACCTCCCAGGGGGTGAAAGGTGCATTTCTCTGCTTTCGTAACATACATCAATACAAGGCTGAAAGCAGTGGTCTTGGGGAATCATAGGACTAGTTTCCGCAAGTGAGCTATGTGACCATGTGTACTTGTTCAGTCGTACTGATGCCGGTGATGCAATACCTCAGCCACCTTGCATCTGTTGCATCACCAAGCCACCAAAAACAATCTTCTTGGCCACCCCAAAACCAGCAAGCTGATGGATTTTACATCCTTTTCTCCCCATCTCCCCCCCACCCTCATAAAACAATCTTCGTTCGCAGCACTAACCTCAGCCTAGCCTATCGGCTGCCTTTCGTTATCACGATCCCAAGTGTATCAGAATTGCGCCATCAGATTCCCAATCGGCCAGGTGAGCCCCGCGATCGCCTGCTGACCGCTGACCTCTAAGTCTCTAAGTCACCAGGACACTTGGAAAACATGTGATGAAGCAAGAACGCATCAACCGTCTCTTGAAGCAGGATTGATCTCGTAAGTCAAAGGCTTGAAGGCTTGGGCCAACCGAATCGAACCGAATCGAATAAGGCTGCGAGATGGGAACTACGGTTCATGGAGCAACTCCTGGTACAGAACGTTCTCGATTCAACCATAAAGGCGGTTTAGATGGCCCCCATCTGTCTAGGACATGTGGGGGGCTGTGCATGGTTGTGCCATCTACTCTGAAACCGATGTTTTTTCAATTGCTCACAGGCTGATGGATGTGTTCGAGGATGTCCCATGGTTGCAAAGACAATATTTAACTTTTATTGGATCTTCAAAACGGCAAACTGTTTGGCCGGAGACCTTTTTCAGTGAAAAGGCACCACAATCAACGATATACTTTCAGCAGAAAAACACCATCGACTTGGGAATCGAGACTCCATAGCGACATGTGTTTTTTCTGCAATGGCTCTGAATTCCAGCCGTTTCGACATTCGAAGTGTTCGTTTTATGATTTTATGTTTTAACACCAGATCCTCGGGATCTCAATTCACTGAATGCGTCGTTCACACTCCAAGGCACTGGGCCTTCAGCCACTAATTCCAGCTGATCGTTGGTGATCAACACGGCCACCTCATTGGATTGCTCAGACAGGGCCGACATCAAAGCCATGCGATTACAAGGAAATGACTACTTGGCACTCCACGTTGGCTAGCGGTGCAAATGCCTTCTGAATGAAAGAATATGAAGCCAGAACCAACAGTTGGTGCTCTGCTGGTCTGACCTTCTTTTAATCACCACCCCTCCATAACACCCGCCCTCAGTGCCGCCTCTGGCCTCTAAAAGGGTGTGTTGGCCCGGCCCACCCTCTTCACCCAGGCCAGTCATCTCGCAATCCACCCAGACCAAGGCCTGGCACAGACTAAACCATACAAAAGGAATGAGGGTGATGGTGGTGATGGCGAGGAAAGGTCGTAGACCACACGATGATAAAGGTTCATACCGTATACGTTCAACCGTCGGTATTAGGTGCAAGGTGGTTCCCAAATGCATACGATACGATTTCGCAGCACCTAGGTCTTGCACAGGCTTCTCATGATCAGGTATCGAAAGTCTGTTGCCTTTTGCGGCTGAGAAGGCGGTAAATCTTGAGAACACCCTGAGCCAGCCATGAAGCCGTGCAGAGAGGATGTGTTTGTGGCACAGGGGCTGAAGCCTCTCTTAAGTCGGTCAAAAGTACATAATGTGAACAAATATAATATTATATATATACGATTAATTACATAAAATTGTGCCAACAAATCATGCGGCAAGATGGACTTGTGAGGCAAGCCGGGTACGACGAATCAGCCAATACAGGTTTCAAAACTGTCCCAAATCCTGGTCAATGTAAGTCAATGTTGTTTTCCTTTGAGCAAAATATGCAAAAAAAAACGTAAAGTTTCTTGCTTGGCACTTCTGCTACATCACAGGGCCAAGTGGAGTTCAAGACCCAGCGTCTGCATGAAAACGTCCTAGTGCCTTGGAAGGTGTTTACCAAAAATCCGACAAATATACATTCTAAGAACTGGATACTCATAGAACCCACCTACCTGAATCGGTTGCACACACTCAGAGCACGGAACATTTTGCGCAAACACACTCAAACACAGACACCTCTTCACCGCGATTTCGAGGCTCCCCTCGCCCCTCACCTCCGGCAGTCGGCCTGGCCGCGGCTTGGAGGGATCGGTCCACGTAGTCACGATGGGCGCCGTGGGGCGTCTGTGGTTCAAGAAGCCCATTGCCATGACTTGAGCGCGTCCGTCCCCGTTGTTTGAGGAAGAATCCAAAAAGGGGGAGTAGGTCTCACCACATGCTTATAAGTCGAGGGGTCCAACCTACAAGGTGTAGATAAATAATGCGTGACTCAGCAAACATCGGCAGTGATTTTCGTGAAATCTTCGGGTGGAGCAACTCCGAATTGATCGGATAAATCAGGAAGGAAAATGAAAGAAACTCAATAAACCACCAAAACAGCTCATAACCACATAAGACCAGCTGTAATTTCGGATGTTACAGTATGAAAAAACAACAACAACAAACCAGCACATCACATCTTGTAGCAATTGTCGGCCAATACCCCATCAACCCTCATGGTGAGAAAAGAAAGGCCTGGCATGGCAAACACACGCTTGGAAGGGAGGCCACCTGTCCGCTCGCGAACTCTGCGCCGTCGAATGGTGGTACATGAAGTGGGCTGGGCTGTCAAGGAGCTTTTAAAATGAAAGGTTTGTCAATTGAATGGGTCTCCTCGTCCTGCAAGTTATGAACCAATGATTCTCGTTCGTGGAATCCTCCTGACTTCTGTCCATATGCATGATTGGAAGACCAAACGACAAGCTCCATGCTGCTTGCAGTGGCGGTTGCTCAAGCTATCAGGAAAGGCATGGGAGCAAGTCGCCCTCTACTCTACTGGTCAAAAAGACATGCTGAGGTGAAACTCTAAAGCCTGAGGGCCACGGCCCACGTAGACGCCCCCTTGTATCCCATGTTTCGCCCATGTTTCACTGCAAATCTGAACTTCGACATACGCCATCACTAGGCTGTCCAGTACTATACTCCCTAAGAGAAGTTACAGTCATCGTCTTGTAATCCAGAGTAGGCAAGCTTGCCGTTCTCGTCTTTCGGCACAAGGCTCCGCCCAAAACTCGCCTCGCCAGAGTGAAAGGCAAGGGAGAACTGCCGTCCACAAGCGCCGGCGCCGCATGTGCGCGCCAAGGCGGCGTTCAAAAGGGAAGAAGCTGCTTGGTGTGCTCTGGGTGCTTCGTGTGGTTCCTTGGAAGTTTCAAACACACATTGCACTGCCTATATACTGGGCCATTGCCATCACTTCTATGTTGTGCAAGGTATGGCTTTGGAGCCAAAAGCTTTGCCAAACTCTGCATCGCTGACAGAAGTTCCAGCTAGCAGCTCGCAAAGAACTCCACCTGAAAGTTTGTAGAAAGCCAGGTGCTTTTTGTTGCTCACTTAGCAATTTAAGCCATTGCTTTACTTTACAGTGTCAGTCGTTCGTCGCCCCAGCTGACACAGTGGATCAGTGCAAGTACGGGATCAAAGTAGTGATTGGTCATGTTGAATTGCATCCAATTCATCTCCACCCCTTCGAAAAGGTGTTATAAAAGAGCATGAAGTGAATGCAAAGCAGCAGGATCATGAGGCCAAATCTCACCTGTGAAATCAACTCGCGGTTTGCCTGTTCGGTCTGGGACGCTTCGTCTCCCCAGTACATCCACTTTCCAGACTTGGTCGCCCTCGCGTGTTTAGGCCCCGCGAGCGGACCCACAGGCACTGCCTGGCGGACAACAAAGCTAGCAGGAATACCAGAAGCATCACATGGAACCTGCAACCGGAGGTTTCACCCCCCACAGATCCCAGCAGCGAATTCGCTGCTGGCACCGTTCCCACCTCCTTGGTGGCTTTGGGCACGTTGGGAACAATCCGCCTCGCGACGGCCCGTGCGGAACATCGTGCCAACGGCCCATCCGGAGTTTCGAGGTGGAGTTCGTGCGTCCGGCCGGGTCGTTTGGTCATCACGCCGGAGGTCTTTGCGGTTCCGTAGTTCTTTATGGTTGTGGGTCAAAACCGGAACCCCTGCATTTTACTGGTAATTCGGTTGACCTTGACGCCTGGTAGATCCCCCATCTATTCATGTTCAGTAGATCCACCAGAGTGTCCCAGTTTTGACCCTTTGGGGATACAGCCCAATCAAGTTTGGTTCCACTCTGTCTCCATCTTCACTCCCATGAGGTGAACATAAGCCACTAAAACCAGTCAAATGCTGGAACCCGTTATTTGAATATAAGCCCCATGGCATCCCATGGCCCATTGCTATGGTCGTTGTTGTTGGTTGTTGCCGGTGATATTATATGCAGTTGATGCTGTGACTTGCTGCATGATGCAGTGGTGGAACAATGGTCGTCTCTCTTTTCGCTGGTCTGTTGAGCATGACTGAGGTTCGGGCTTGGGGGCTGCGGGCTGATTCCACCCGCCGATGTCTTATTCCCAGGGAAGAGGTGATATGGTTCAATGCTTTGAGTTCGCCACCAAACCGGGCGGAACCTCGCAAACTCAAAAGAGTCGGACAAAAAGTGAAGAGTCGGACATACCTGTCGCTCTTTGTTTGTCGTCCTTCATACGGATTCAGATCCCCCAAACCTTCTCAACCAGTCGATGCCAATTTCCAGTCCTTCCGAAATGACCACATCCTGGTCACTGCGAGGTTGGTTGGCCAGTTGGGCCGTATGCTGGAAAAAAAAAGCACGGAACAATTAGTATGTCTGTCACCTGCAGAATAAAGACTCTTGCTCATGGCTTGGGTATATTCTAACTCTGAGTTTCCAGCCTCTTTTGGGCCTAAAGTTAAAGATTCCAACCTGGGCTCATGTTGAAGTCCCTGTCCCTCGTCGTCTCCTCCTCCGTTACGGCAAAAAAAACGGCATTCTGCTCCTTTCGGGATCGTGATCCTGGATGAGGTAAAACCTCACGCAGGTGGAGCGAGTCTTCAAACATCACATCCAGGTTTGGTCCGCGACTTGGCGGTTTTGCGAGCGGAATAGGGCAATTCCAGCGAATTTTGGAATGGCAGGAGTATCTGAGCAAGATCGATTGGAGACATAAGAACTTTGTTATGAAAGGGTGGATCACCTTTAAGCGATTCTAACATGCAGGCAGGTTCCCCAATACCAAGTGACTGCATCAGCATTAGGCAGATTAGGATGAATCGGGTTGCCGGGCTGGTATACATACGCGTACAAAACCCAATGTCTGCAAACCTTGATATTTAGGGCTGAGCTTCGTTTCAGAGAACACTTCGAGATGCTTAACAATACAGCGAACAGTTTCGGCCTGGTACAATATGGTGCGATGCTTGGATGGAAGCAGAACATGCCCCGGACTGGGAGCAGTCTTGTCGCCATCATAAATGAGATTGTGAGTTCGCAGCAAGATGTTTCTTTGTCATCTGCGCATATAATGCGCATATCATTTTCTCGGCAAGGCCAAGATAGTGTCAAGCAAAAGGACCAAAGCAGTTCACATGTATTGGGTCCCCATGCAACACAATCATGGTCGAAGGTGCTTGCAGAAGGCTTCGGAATACTTCGGGTGCAAAAAGCCTGCAAAAGCTACAAAATCAAAGACAGCGCGGGCAACCCGGCCTGCTATTTCGCG